GCAAGACCGCTACACGAATTATCCCAGAAAGACACCCCATTCAGTTGGACGAAAGCAAGAGAAACTGCATTTCAAAGCCTGAAAGAAGCATTCACCACGGCACCTATTCTCAAGATAGCGGATCCGTACAGACCGTTTGTATTGGAATGTGACTGCTCGGACTATGCATTAGGAGCGGTGTTGTCTCAAGTTTCAGAAGATGATGGAGAGTTACATCCGGTGGCATTTTTATCTAGATCACTAATTCAGGCTGAAAAGAATTACGAAATATTTGATAAGGAACTTCTAGTGGTGGTGGCCTCATTCAAAGAATGGAGACAATACCTCAAAGGTAACCCGAATAGGTTAAATGTGATTGTCTACACGGATCACAAAAACTTACAATCACTCATGACTACAAAAGAATTGACACGAAGGCAAGCCCGATGGGCTGAAATCATGGGTAGTTTTGACTTTGAAATTAGATTCCGTCCAGGCAAACAGTCCACAAAGCCTGATGCGCTCTCAAGAAGACCGGATCTAATGCCGAAGGAAGGTGAAAAGCTCACGTTCGGACAAATACTCAAACCTGACAATATCCCTGCCGACGCCTTTATCGACAAACTTGACTTATTCAGCTCTTGGGTATTAGAAGAATCAACTCACTCAACAACAAGTATTAATGAAATTGACGGATCAAGGCAATTTGAAGATGACGACAACAACTTGATTTGGAACGATGAGAAGATAATTGAAGAGATCAAATTGAAATCAGAATCCGATCCAAAGCTGAATGAAATAGCTCAATTACGCAAAGATGTTTGGACTTCAAAATTTCTGAAGGACTATTCGCATAGGAATGGCCTATTATACTTCAAGGATAAAATTGTCGTACCAAATGACAACAATTTGAAACTTCAGATTCTTAGGTCACGCCACGATAGTCGACTGGCTGGTCATCCTGGACGGATGAGAACGCTGGCCTTGGTGAAACGAGGATTCTACTGGAAATCAATGAAGGCTTTTGTCAATCAATACGTTGACGGGTGTCAATCGTGCCAAAGGATAAAGTCACGAACAACTAAACCATTCGGCAGCTTAGAACCCCTTCCAATCCCGAAAGGCCCATGGACTGACATTTGTTATGATTTAATCACTGATTTACCAGAATCAGAGGGTTACGACAGCATCCTCACGGTGGTAGACCGGTTAACGAAAATGGCGCATTTTGTACCGTGTAAGAAGACGTTGACATCGGATGAATTGGCGGAAGTGATGATCAAGAACATCTGGCGACTTCACGGCACTCCTCAGTCTATTACTTCTGACAGAGGTAATGTCTTCATATCTAAACTCACTAAAGACATGAATAGACGGTTAGGAATCACAACACAGTCATCCACTGCATATCACCCGCAGACTGATGGTCAGTCAGAAATCACTAATAAGGCAGTTGAGCATTACATTCTTCACTTTACGTCGTACAAGCAGGAAAACTGGTGCTCACTCCTGCCAATGGCAGAATTCTCGTACAACAAGAACGACCACTTGGCCATCGGAATGTCACCGTTCAAAGCTAATTACGGCTTTAACGTGAGTTTTACTGACGTTCCAACAGGAGACCAATGCCTATCGTCGGTAGAACAACGATTAGCACAGCTGAATGATGTTCAAAAAGAATTAAAAGAATCAATGCAATTAACACAAGAAGATATGAAAAGCCAACATGACAAGAAATTTCAACGCTCACCGGATTGGAAAGATGGAACAGAGGTGTGGTTGAATAATAAAAATCTATCAACGACAAGACCATCAGCTAAGTTTTCACATAGATGGCTTGGTCCATTTCCTATCTTAAAGAAAATATCCAAGAATGCTTACAAACTACAGTTGCCTCCATCAATGTCCTTAATACACCCAGTGTTTCACGTTAACTTACTGAGGAAATTCAAAAATAGCAAGATCAAGGGTCAAGCACAGGAACCACCATCACCAGTCATTATTGAAGATGAAAATGAATATGAAGTAAGTGAAGTGTTGGACAAAAGATTAAGAAGAGGAAAGGTTGAATATCTGGTCAGCTGGAAAGGTTATGATCCTAATCACGACTCGTGGGAACCAGAAGAATCAATGGGTAATGCTCAAGATGTAGTAAATGAATTCAACGAGAAATATCCTCAAGCTGAAAAAAGATACCGTAGGGTACGGAGAAAGTGATGAGGGTTAGGCTTTTTTCCCACTGGGTTTTTACTGCCAACCCGGGGAAAGATGCTAACCTGTCAAGAGGAGGTTGAGTCATAAAGGGGGGAGTGGTGTTATGAGCCACTTATAAGGCTATTCACATTATGCTTGTAGTAGATGGGCGCTCTCTTATTGTCTGGCTCGAGGATGGCCTGTGCATCCTCACGCTACAATCCAAATACCTATACGAGGGGACTTTCTCTATCACCTTGCATCCCAAACCGCAAGCCCACTCATTAAAATACTTCAGTTGACTCTGCTCCAATCCATGTGCCGGTTCTCCGCTTGAAGCAGGCGAGGCCTTCCACTCTTCATGACCCTTTACAGTACCTTTCAACGCCATGTCTGTTCAACTTGAAGGGCAATATCACGTCAATCAGAAGGCATTCCATACCATTTGCAAGGATGAGGGAAAGACCATGTACCTTGGTTAGTTAGATGGCAATCTCCCTAGGGACGAGCAATCAGGAAGGGTTTGGCACCGGTATAAATATTGAAAGAGTACCTTGAAAAACTTACTTTCAAATCTGATAGAATGTGATCTAGCCAATTGAGGTCCTCTTTGACTTTTCATCTTGCTCTTTTAGCTCTTCGATTGCACTTTGATATGCAACCATTTTGCGATAGAGCTCAGTGGCGTTCAACCTATTTACCCCAGTTTGTAAAATTTGCTCGACTCTTTCCTTTGCCGCTTTTGTGTCTTGTTCCTTCGCTTTTAAGCTGATCAACTTGGTGTCAAGCAATTTTACAAGTTGAGTCAAATCTTCTCTTTGCCCAAAGAGGATGTAATTCTTGTGTTTACCATTTCCTGCTTTAAATTTACAAACCAGAATATCAAATTTCTTTGTGTACCTAGCAGTCACAGCAGCTCAGCAATTTGGGCACTGTAAGTCAAAATTATTGGGTCCGGCCAATCCATCACAGCATTCAGGTTCACATATACCATTGTTCACTCAAGATATTTGAACGCAAGCTGGGACATGTCCTTGGTTTTGACATTGAAAGTATCCTTTTGAGAATTTGGAGGAGTGAAGAGATGCCATCGAATTGACGCTCAAGACGCTCTTTGTTGTCTTGCAAAGTCCAGCTCCTTGTGAGTCGAACACAATGGACCAGTCAGTGTTGACAGGAACAGAAGCGGTGAAGATTGTTGATACACTTGCTTGTTTGCCTAACCCAGTCCCCTTGGCCGACCTCATGGATGATGATAAACCCAAAGAATATTCGAAGAAAAGTACCAAGAGTTTATAAACCAATCGAAATCAAATAAAGCTTTTGATTGTAATGAATCAGCTATTAGACCCAATTTCAGATTTATCTTATAAAGAATTAATTAAACTAAGATTGATTTCTTAAGCTTGTTCTATAGCTGTTATTCTCATTTTATTTTAAAACAGTTTAGATAAATCATTCAAGATGTCCAAAGCGGTTTTTAGATAAATGCAAATTGGGATTTGTTGGGAAGTTGTGAACTTTTCCTGTTGAAGGACTTGTGATTAAACGACTTTGGTATTCAGAAGAAGAATATCAAGAAGAAGATGCTAGTTTCATATAAAATTAGATTTTGAATTGATGTATTGATTAATGTTTTGCAGAAATCGATCAACTTCTTTTCAAAGTTTTTTTTGTGGTGAGTCTAACTGTTGATGATTTATTTATTATCGAGTTGATGAGTGGATATGCATGATTAGGTACCTAGTTTGATCGGATAACGTGTGTGGTAATTCATTTTTGATATAAAAAACATGTACTTTTGTTCATCAGATTCAGTTCGACATGTGTTAGAAAAGGTTTTCTTTTCAGATGATAAGGGAAATGAGATAAAGAGGTTTGTGTCTTACTAACCTTTTTGAATACCTCTTGTGTATCATCTGATCTTTCTGGAACTGCATCTAGATCAAAGGCTTCATCTTTATCAATACTATTGTGACAACCACAATACTATTTCATCGAAAAAATATGAATGTGTATATCAAGTAATCAGAGCGAGCTTATTGAGGATAATAGCCAACTCTTAGGATACAATTGATCAAAAGTGCAATTCCTTCCGCTCTAGCTTCTTCATTTGAATTGGTTTGGTTTGAATCTCTACCTTTCTACATCTCGATCCAATCTTCTAGAGTAGGTTCAATAACTGAGCTACCCTTCGGGATCTAATCTGATTAAATGGGTTTAAAACAATGTTTAATCGATTTTCAAGAGAACGAGCTAAAAGAAGGATAAAGACTGACTAAGGAGATCATTATCTTGTGAAATGTATAATCTGATTTCACATGGTTTCCTAATTCTCTATCACTCCTTACATCTTGGTCAAGATAATGATTGTTTTCTGGAGCTCGATGTCGTTTTGAGTTTGGATTAGTTGTTGATTTGGTTTTAGATTTCTTGATTGGAGTCTTGTGCGTTCAAATTGGTTTTTTAGATCCAATGACTTTTTTTTATTTCTTTCGATGACAATCTGATGAAGGTGAGGGAGACAGGTGCCCAAAGGCACGACGGCACCTGTACGTTCCATTAAACACGGTAGATAACTCGACGAGAGCAATTGGCCCCGGTACAGATATGTCATCGGTGCCGGGGACTGTAAGGGATAACATTCCGCATCAGACAGAGACGAAGATGAAACCTTATCGATTTCATCTCTCGTCACCACAGCAAACCTTTTCGATTCTTCAACACCAGAACTACTAACACACATTTCTCGATAGAAATTTTCTTTTCTCTCTTCAATTCAATTCAGAAAAACCTTCATATCAGTTTAGAACAAATTCTCAAATAAAATGTCTCAACAAATCGCACAAGCAAAATCAATGGCAAACTTATTACATGGAAGGACTCTACGCCCAAGAGGCCCAACACCAGGTCCGTCAGTAACTAAGAAGAATAAGACTGAAAATAAGAGAGAAGAATCGAAGAGTCAAAAAGGAAAGAAGAAAGTGCAAGAAGTTGAACAAGTTGGAATAGAAAATACGTTAGAAGGTCAAATCGAAGAATACGGTGGGAAGTCAGCGGTAGAAGTCAAGCAAGAAGAATTGGAAAAGAGAATGAATGAAGACATACATGAAGAACTCGAAAGCAGAGGTGGTGATATAGATGAGAGATTGAACGAAGCGATGGAAGTCGAAAACAAAGTTGGAGAGATAGATCATCACCAACCGTTAATTGGTTTCGGTAAGAATACCCCCCCTACTTTCTTGAATCCGTCAATTCCTTCCTTATCCCCAGAGTGGCCAGTGTTACGAATGTCCAGAGTGGCTAGTGTTATGTACCCAGGGTGTAATCCTAAGAGTGGCCAGTGTTATGAGTAACAATGAGGCCGATGTGATATATCTCAAGAGTGGCCAGTGTTACGATTAAGTCCTATGAGGCAATAGTGTGGCTCTGACCAATAACAACCAAGAAAAGTTAAAAAAAAAAAAAAAAAAAAAGAAAGACAAGTTCAAAGATTGAAGTGGAACTAACGATCGTGGCCTTTATTTGGGTTGGAAAATGTCAGGTGTAGATGAACAAAACACAATCGAGCACCCGACAATTGAGCTAGAACATGCCAAGTGGATTAGAAACATACAAACTGCCTTTAGTAAAAACAAAGAAGCGAAATTCAAAATGCTTACGACTGCATATAGAGAGTGGTGTGAAGAAAACAACACCCAAAGAAGAGATGTAGGCCTTAATGATTTCGAGTTTGAGTCAAGCAATGAAGAAACTAAAGAAGTGATAACGAAAACGAAAGCTATGTCGACTTCGAAGAAAGATGCTAATACTCAGATGAAACTTGGAGCAAAATTGACTCATAACATGGTTCGATTATCGGAGTATTGGCATAATATTATGATAAACAAAAACTTACATGTACCAGTGACAATCTTCTCCACCCCATGGTTACTAGAAGACTCAGCTTATATGAAGACCAAGAGGACGAAAACAGTTAGCTGTACATCAGACGTAATCTCATATGTTGGTTTGAAAGTCCCAAATGAATACCGGTTAAGTCGAGCAGAGTGGTCAACACGTTTCAACCTTATGGTAAAATACCAACGGCTAGAGTATGACACGTTAGATAGCCAGAAGAACTCACCTATCGCACCTAGATTGATAGCTCATAAGGAGAATGTTTTGCAAATGCAAGAGGAAAACTTTGGAATGTGGACCCCTTCAATGCGTTACGATATAGCTCACCGAAGGAATGTGTGGGAACATCGTTTACCGGACGGCACAATGGCAGACGTGGGTACGTTGAATGAAGTGTTAGCGGCTCAAGCGCTTCGAGACGCGAAACATCATGGTGAAGACATCTTTGGAGATAATCCCTATATGATTGGGGGTGAATGGCAACATGTTAATCCAATAACAGGAAGAACTCACCCGGCAGATAAGCCTTGGGATGATGAGGCATTTAGCGGTGAGGCACAAGCAGCTATGTTAACAGGCCGTTTGGTGTCACATTTGGCGACACAAGTGATTCCGAATCTACCAGATAATAAGACGTTAGTTAGTAATCAAAGCAAAACTGGCATCAACCCCTTCTATAAAGGGAGAAATTACGACCCACATTATGTAAAACCGCCACAAAATCAAAGTCATAGAGGTGGATTTAATAACTCCAATACGAACTCCGGTGACCAAACCAGACCTCATCCTTACTACCAAAACCAAAACCAATCTTATGGTAATGGGGGAGGTAGAGCAATAAGTAGTGGCAGTTATGGTATGAATGGCGGAAATGTACAAAGTGGTTCAGGTTCAGGTCGGCCGTTGATAGGAGCGGGTAGTTTTGTGAGAGGAATGGGTGCTGATAGAAGTGGAAAAGGACAAAATGTTAGCAAGAATAACACAACATCAAAGTGAGTAAAGAAAGAAGAAGAAGAAGAGTTAGTGATGAAAAGAGAGTGTAATAAAGAGAGAAGAATGGCAATATATCTTTACTCGAAATTTTATTTGACCCCTTTGTTCTTCCAAGACATCACCCAATTCTAATTGTTCTTGTAGTATGAAATAAAAAGAGATTATGGTGACTGATTATTTGTGGTGTTTTTCCTCCTTGTTTTTCTCGTTGTTCAAGCTCTTGTAGAAGCCATGTTGTTCGCAATGAATCAAAGAGCCAAGTTCCAACACCTGAGAACACAGATATAATCCCAACAGAATCGAGTATACGAGAAAACCTTGACGAGACATACGTTATCAATGACCAAAAGGAGTTAGAGAATTGGCCGAGAGAAGCAAATTGTGAAATGAACCTTACAGAGTGGAAGTTATTGCTTGAAGATGGGAACCTTCTTGAGAAATGGAACCATGTCCTCAAAGGCCTAGAATTCGGTTTTCACCAAGGGATCCCACAACACACTCTAGGCGAATTGAAGTGGTTCACACCCGATAACCACAAGTCAGCATTAGCAGTCAAAGAGAAGATAATGGCTAATTTGTATAAAGAGCGGAGAGAAAAACAAATCTTCGGACCTTATACTCATGAGGAAGTTTTTAGACGATGGGGGGTCTTTCGGTCAAACCCAATGGGGAGTGTGACCAATAACGACCTGTCATTACGGATGATTAATGATTTATCTTATCCCCAAGAGAAAGATGATAATGTGAAAAACAGATTCGACAGACTCACATCAAAATCTAGATGTGACGGGTCCAGACGATGGTCAAACGCAGCAGTTTACAAAAGACAACAACATCATATGGTACCGTCCGTCAATTCATTCGTAGATAAGACGAAATTCGAAACCTCGTGGGACGATTTCGACACAGTAGAATCTTACTTCAGGTCAAAAATCGGAATAAAATTGTTGTTAGCTATTTATGACTGGAAAAAAGCATACAGACAAGGTGCAACTCACAAATCTCAATGGCGCTACTTGACGATAAAAGACTTCAACGGGAATATCTGGATAGACACCAGAATCCCATTTGGAGGGGTGGCGGGTGGCGGGACCTTCGGGTGGATGGCGGACGCGTGGAGAGACATTATCTCCACAACACTAAAAGTCGACCAGATCTTTCGCTGGGTCGACGACAATATGTTTGTGAAGGTGGATGGAAGTGATCTGTCAATGGACGTAGTAAAACAAATTAGTAAAAATTTAGGTGTACAGTCAAATGATGAAAAGTTTCAAGATTGGGAGGTAGAACAAAAATACCTTGGGTTTATTTGGAATGGAGATAATAAAACTGTGCGCTTACCAGAAGAAAAATTAGAAGAAAGGAAGCGCCAAGTCAAAGAATTTTTAACATCTACAGGGAAGTGGCGACTGAAAGACGTAGAAAAGTTAGTAGGAAGACTGGTCCATCTACTTCATATCCTTCCACACATGAAATGCTATCTGTGGAACCTATACGAATGGCGAGCAGAATGGGTTAACCCAAGCGCATTACGGGAATTACCAGTAGGAGCTAAGGAAGACCTCCAAGAATGGCACACAACATTAAACTCCTTCGATCATCTACGCTTCGTCCCAGAAATAGAACCAGTGGAAATTGGATGGGTAGGTGATGCCAGCACTAGTTATGGAATTGGTATCCTGGTGCTAGATAAATGGGCAAGATTCGAGTTACTGAAGGGGTGGGAGAGTACTGATCTGTCACCAGAATGTCAGAGACGTGACATCAACTGGTTAGAGACCGCGACAATCCGACTCGGTCTACATGTAGTACAGAAAATAGTACCCACCTTCGGCCGACGATTCCTTCTTCTAACCGATAACACCACATCGCAGGCAGCAGTTCATAATCGTAAATCCAAACACAAGCTCGTCAACGAAGAGTGGCGGAGAATCCAAAAAGACTTGACCGCGTTCCAGTGTGACATTGTAGCGAATCGAGTGACTTCAAAAGGAAACGTTGCAGATACACTTTCGAGAGGCGACCAAGAAGACCTAGAAAACAGAAACGAAATCATCATTAGCATCCTGTTAGACCTGAGCAGGTTATTGAAGAGAGGTACACAGAAGAAAGATGCAAAACGAAAAGAAAGCTAGAAACTTCCTAATGGACGAAGTTGGGTACGTAAAAAAAAAAAAAAAAAAAAAAAAGGAAAGAGAAACTTACACAGTTAAGTTCTTACACTGACAAGGGGTCCTGTACATAGGTTGATTCAATGGTCTGAGAACCCCGTACAACGCCGACTCCTGAGCGGTAGCTGGTCGCAGGCGACCTTAGAAAATTATAGCACAGCCATGTCCAAATTGATGAAGTACGGAGAGTTGATGAAGAAGTCGAGAAACGAGATGTTACCGTTGAGTGATGAACTGTTGAAAGGTTTCATCGTATGGGCAGGGAAGGAACAAGATGGCTATTCAGGAAAGAAAGGCAAGGTGAAGCACGAGAAACATAAAGTCAGCTTAGTTACACTTAGCAAGTATATATCAGGTTTTAGATCATGGCATTTATTCCATGACAAACCTTTCCCCAGCAAAAATAACAGAGTCGTACAATTGATGCTGAAAGCCTGTGGAGTCGCAGACGCAAAAGACCAAGACAGGGTGAAGATTGAGAAAGAACCGATCCAACTCTGACACCTGGCTGAACTAATTTTCGCTTTAGCAGACGGATCTTGGAAAGAAAAGACGGCTTTAGCAGTTGCACTCGTCGCCTTTTGGGGAATGGCTCGTCTCGGAGAACTAGTTTCAGACAACAAGAAGAAGCGATTAATCTTACTGAAAGACATGTTACGAGCAGAAGATGGTACTTATCTGAAACTAGCTTTACATGACGCGAAAACCGCGAGACCAGGCGAAATCCAGTGGCTCCATCTACGATCACTACCATCCTTACTAGACCCGGTGAACGCATTAAATCAAATATTAGTACGGAGTCGCCCTAATGACGTGTACATGGAACCGATCTTCTCTTACCCAGATGATAACGGAAACAGAGTAGCGATGACGAAGTCTGTGTTTATGTCGATTTGTAGAGGAGTTTGGGTTAAGGCTTCAGGAACACAAAATTGTCTAACTGGTCATTCCTTCCGGGTAGGGGGAGCTACGTTCAGGTGGAACGAGAAACATCCGTTAGAGAACATTATGCAAACTGGGAGGTGGCAATCGAGAGCGTACCAAACATACCTAAAGAACTATTCAAGAGGTGACTCCGTAGATGCGAAGTATGTATGGGATCTACTGAAACTACCGGATATAGCTGTGAAGGTTGTCTCAGGACCGACTCTTCTATCAAACGGAGGGAAGAGAGAAATCGAAACAAAAGATATGAAACGGAAAAGAGGCTGAGTAGAACAGGAGGTGAAGACAAGATGTAGTGAAAGAGGGAGTAGTAGGTACAAGGAAACTTACATGGTCACTTAGTTGTTCCAATTTTTTTCCAATTTGCGTTTTCGTCCTTATCCGATGGTTGTATTTGGGGAGAACTCTTCATAAGAGGAATTGTTTGTACGTAGATTGGAAGACTGGCTGGTGTGGTAGGAGGAAGATGAAAAGAAATCGATGTAGATCGACAGATGCCTCGAACACAGTGAGAGTGAGACAGCGAAAAGGGTGAGAGAAGGGATTGAATTGAGTCCCACTAAAGTGATAACCTCGGGGGATACTAAAGAGTTCGGGGGTCACTTGGGCCCTACCGTGGTAGGCTCTCCGCAGGCTCCGGACGATATGTCCCGAGTAATGGCAGCAGAGAGCCTACCCTTGGCCAAAGACCAGCGGCCCCCGCCCCCCCCCAAACACACACCAGGAGACTTAAGTTACTCTTAAGTCAAATGGTTACTGGTTAGTTGGTAAAGGAGTAATGGCTAGAAATATGAGTAGTATGTAGAGTGTAAGAAATACATAAGTAAACAAAATGTATAATATAAAAGTTAAAGGAAATGTAAGAAAATTTACATAGCGAGAAATGTGACCTACAAGATTAATGGAGGGAGACAGGTGCCCAAAGGCACGACGGCACCTGTACGTTCCATTAAACACGGTAGATAAGTTTTTCAACTCGTGATGAACCTCTTCTTGGACTTGATTGGTTTTGATTTGGCAAATCAGCTTTAAAATAAAGTTATCATTAGCTTTACTTTTTGATACATTCTGTTAATGATGAAAATGAGAAATCGAAAACTAACAATTTGATTGTAAGCTTGAAGTTGGAGTTGATTTTTTTTGTTTTTTTCTGTTTTATCATGATTCCTCGTTTTTTTAACGAGTAGCTGAAAGACATTGATGCACATCTCCCCAAGTAGTAGTATCCATGATCGAACAACCTTTGTAGTCACAAACTTCTTTGGCAAATGCAGCAGGTCCTTGAGTCTTGAGAATTGCTTGCCACATCACCGTGATATCATCAATGAACAGGAAAGATGAGAGGAACAAATTAGTTTGTTATCCAACTGGAAGAAATAGAGATCATCTAGAACTCATAGTGGTTTGACAGGCCATAAAGAGAGGTGGGGTCGGGAACACCTGAGCCTAATGGGGTCAGAGTCTTAGTGTACAGCTTGTCTTAGGGGTTTAATCCAGTTTTGCCGAGAAACTGGGTTGTGCCTTTAGTGTTATGATGATGCTTAACAATTTGTTGATGATTTTAGAAAAATGAAAGTTAATCATCATCTCCTCCTCCTCCTCCTGCTCCTCCTCATCATCATCTAGATTAGAAGATGAAGAAGTGAGCCGATTGTAATCCCGATGTGGTGGCGGTTGATCTGCAAGAGTTCTTAATGAATTCGGTGAGATTGGTTGAGAATTCAACAATCAATTGATTGATTGATTGATTTCAGGTAGTTTTTAAGAAATCAAGTAAAGGCAACATGAACACTGATATTTGATTTCGCTCTCATTGGTTACGTTGTAAAGGTACCTTGGCTTTCAAGTCATCAATCTGTCTTTCTTTCATCTATGTAACAATGTGCTTTTTGACTGTGTGAGCACACTTGATAGACCTTGCATGATCCAATTGACAAACCTGCACAGGTGAGCATCATCCAGAGGATGCTTCCAACCGGCAGCTGGATGCCGTTTTAGCCAGCCAAGCTCAGGATAAAAAACGTTGTAGGCAGTGCGATAAATTGCCATTGTAAATAGGGATATATATTTTGATATAGCGAAGTTCTGGATCTCGGGATGAGGAGTGAGGTTGCAAGGGAATGGAGGGATTGGGGAACTGGAGTGTAAAGAAAGGTGGCATCGAATAAGGATATGTTTTATATGTGTGGGCAATAAGGGAGGCAGGAGTGTTGTGGAAAGAGTCAGGTCATTACGAAGCACTGTCAATGTTTTTCTAATTGAGAAAAGCAATCCAAAAGCAAGACAATCGGAGCAGCAAACAAAAGGAAAAGAGTGCAGTACAACTTTACCAATGTGATCATTAGAAATAGGGTTTAACAATAGCAAAAAGAGGCAAATTGCTTGTGAAAGCACCCACCACTTAGACAGGATGAATGTAATGGGGACAAAGGGTTGAATAAGAAATGTGTTGAGAATGGACACAGGGTTCTGGGCAAGCAATGGTAAAGAAAATTCATTGCGAAGACATGTTGATGATTATTGAAAAATAACAATGAAAAGTTTTTGACGTTAGGGCAGAAAGCAAAATGGAAGCAGGAGGTCAGTCCACAACCACCTTTGTTCGAGAGATCGATGATGACAGTGTTCTCGAAAAGCAAAAAATTCCAGGTTGCTTTTGAAAAGTCCAAACACCAATGCATGACGGTTGGCTCTGGCAACGCGAAGAGGGAAGGAAATGATTCAGCTGCCATACAAAGTGAATAAAGACAGCATTGCTACGGGCGTCTGATCAAGCATGTGATGAAAAAGCAGTGGGTGGTGCTTCTGTGGGATGATTGCTTTTGGTGAGCTTTTTCCGGGACACCACAGACAGAAATCCTATAAATACCGGGGGGGCAATGGGTTACTGAATCCGCATCACCCAATGCTACCCATGGCTACACATAAGTGAGTCGTAAGTGGGAAGCAGAGGAATCCGATGTTTTAACGCCTTGATGCCTGATACCCAAATGCTGTTAATGGGGTATAAGGCTTTCAGGGGGGGAATTCGGATTTAAGAAGATAAATAACACCACTCAATAAGCAGCATTAAATTTTGGTCTTTCAAAGACTAATTTTGACCCAAATTGAAATTCACATCTGAGAAGGCTTGGTCATATTGGAGTACTGAACAATGAAGGAAGGAAGTCAAGGAAAAAAATTATCCCTTTGGTTTGGGTTGTTTGTTTGAGGCTGCATAAAATATGATGACAATGTTCAATTTTATGAGTTCTCTCATTTTGAAGCATTTGAAATATCATGAGGTTGGACTTGCTGCACCAATGCAATCCAGGTACTGATCTTTCAAAGACAGATGCAGAGACTCAATCACGAGTGAGAAAGTTGGGATACAGGGATTAGCATTGGTAGCTTGCCACTCCAACTCTGTTGCGCTCAACACTCATCTGTTTTTTGAGCCCTGTCAAATTCTATCAATACATTCAACAATTTATCTGATCCATTTCCAATCTTGATTGAATGCTCAATGCTTTCTCACACAATCTGTTCATGTACATGTAAAACAAATTGAAATTCATTTATAATTGTACCTGATTTAACTTCTCCACATGAATGATCATAAATTGCTAATGTAGTTCTAGATGATGTACTTAACTTTTGTCTGTATTATTGTTCTAATTGTGATTTGTTCCTTAAAAATGTGAAAACTTCTCTTGCTGATCCAATCATTTGTATTTATTGGGCTAAGATTAATGGTGATCCATATTTTAAATTACATAACATTCTTGATAGTTCTGCATCAAAATTGATTAAAAGTAATCCTGGATTGTTGATGGTATGATGATCGCATTGTTCATTGAAGGTCTCAATGATTCAGGTGGTATTGAAGTATTATAGGCTGAAACAAAAGAGAATTGAAGAGGTAAGCTTAATTGGAATAATATCAGTTCAATCAAGATAAGTTTGATTATACTAAACTGGTGGTTGTGGTGGTTGATGATGTCAATATACATTGGATAACGGTTAAGAGATTTTTACACTCTACTGTTTTACACTCCACATTGAGTGTAAATGTGCTGGAGTGTAAAAATCAACATCAAGGGGGGCGAATTAGAATTTTACACTCAATCCAATCCAAATCCCGGAGTGTAAAATACAGGAGTGTATTTCGTTGAGTGTAAAATTGTAACTCAACGTGTCTGAGATTTAATTTTGCACTTATTTTTTAACACTCCATATGCAGTGTTAAAAAAACCAGTGCAAAATTCGACAATCCGGGGTTAAGGTCCATTTTTACACCCGATCCACTTTACATACAATAAGGAGTGGAAGAGCCCGGAGTGGAAAAAACTAAAGCCCCACCCCAAAAGTAGAAATTTACACACGAAAGATTTACACACGAAGAACTTGGAGAAAAAAAAATTATTCTACGAATAGATTTCTTTTACCAAAGAGTTATCTCAGTTTGTTTTCTTAGTTTTCAAAGGCAAACAGATTGACTCGCATTTTGAAGGCTCTGTTGCGCAGGGCAAGATTCCACCACTTAATTGGCCAGTTTCAATTTCACAAACAAGGCCCCCACAAACACAAGATACAAACAAAGACAAGACAAAACATATAATTTAAAAAGTGACTCCCGCGCTTACCACCACGATCATGATCACCAGCATAGAACAATCCTTGTATAACAGTCTGAAACAATAATAAAAAAAAATAGACTTTGACTTTTTTGCCTTTAGCCTTGCCCTTTCCCTTAGGCTTGACCTTAACACTGCTCTCATGTTTTAGCACTTTTTTCGGCTTTGGAGGTGAGACCGGCGGGGATTTAATTGGACTGGACTTGGGTAATGGTCGCTTGACACGCAGACGCAAGGTTAGGGGATCACGCGTAGGCTCTTTGGGCTCTGGTTCGGCTTGTGAGGCTTGAACGCTTTCAACCCCATCACCCTGACTAGCCAGCGGCAATTGAGATAGCTGCGATTGATCAAAGGCCTTCCGGGCCATCTGTGAACGTTGCGAAGAGGTGATCGCCGGAGGAACATCAGGCAGGAGGGGAGCTAAGAAGTCAGGAAAATCATATCAGTAAAGCATTGGACAGGCGAGATATCACGTGAATTGGACTTACAATGCGCTTGTTTGAAAGCACGTTTGGCCTCCACAGCCTGTGAAGAGCTACGTGATTGCAAATCCACATGACCTCCCTCGCCTAGAAGATTATCACCGCCATAATGATCAATCGCTGCTTTACAAAGTAATGATGTTTGGTTAGACCAAACAAGTAGGAAGCATAGAAATCGCAGCAATATAACTTACATGATGCGGTAAAGGTATCTTTTAGCTGCAAACACTCCAACGGAGGGAGAGCGGGCTCCTCCACAATTGGATCCTCCACCCCTTCCAAGTCCAGAGAACAAGCGAACGGTAGATCACCAGTGGAATCTGGATTTTTATGGAGGATCTTTGCAACGGCACAGTCAATTGTTTTCTGTTCGTCAGTGTTCGGCTTGCGTGAGTAAATGAGCCAAGAGGTCAAAGGTTGAGCGCCCGAGATTAAGCTGAGATCTTGGCCGAGGAGCTGTGCCCTGCCATCGTCCTTGCGATCATCGTAGAACCAAACCCCTTGAGCTCCATCGACGAATCTAACCACCTTGCACCAATAGTGATTATAACCCCAGAATCCTCGCGAGACAAGTCAATATTCAACGTTGTTGAAGGTGAGATGCTCAGGCCACAGCATTTCCCCCATGAAGCTGATCCTATCATCTTCTGCGAGACCCGCAACACCTTGAAGAATGAAGTAAAGAGTGTTTGGGTTGGTAGTGAAGTCCAACCGACTCCGCTCGTACAGGTGAGGCAAATCCTCAATGAAACCCGCTGAACAATCTGCAGAATCATCGTTATGGGTGCTTGAATTTTGCTGATTGCGGTTGGTTCGACAGACCGGGCAGCATCGGGGGTTCGTAGAAAATAGACCTTCGGTCTCCCATAGAGAAAGCAGACTCGTGACATCGGAATAACGTAAATTCGCCTCATGGAAGAGATCGTTGGTTAGGACAATGGAGGTGTTGACTCGAACTTCACTCTCTTGATGAGCAGGGATCTTTGTACATTGGAAATCACGTATCATTTTATAAGAAAAATGTCGCCCAATTGAAGTAGGCTCATTCTTCTTTTTAAGAAGAATGTTGTCGATGAATAGGTCAGCTGAACAAAATGTGTCGGTAGTGAAAGACCCCGGGACGCGAGACTGCACCGCGGTTTGTAAGGACTTCAGCCCACATGAAAGCACCAACTTGATGTGGGTTGAATGATGGAGTTCTGCTGAAACCCTCGCCAAAAAGTGTTGAATGAGTTTGGACGCTAAGTCCTTAGCTTTACCTGTCAAACCTTCCAGCCACAAAGTTGAAAAAGTAGGAAACAAGCTTTCCATCGAAGCTGTCTCCCAGCATTGGTTGCGCTTGCCCGGATCGTTGCTGGCAGAATAAGACTGATAGGAAGAGTGACGGTTGCGATTGAAGTTGAGAGATCCATAGGGCCGGCCGAGCTTTTTGGGGCAAGTGATGAGGACATCAGTGGTGTCAGGAGGCCTGCCGTTGTTGGGGTCCGGTTTGCGCCGAGTTTTTTCTTTGGACCAACCCAAAGTCTCAACCACAGAATCCCAGTTGTTCCCGTACTTGATGGAAATCCCTCGTCGCACTTGTTGATCGTCTCTCTTCAGGGATTCTGTAAATAGAAGAAGCTGGACGAAACCTTGGACAATAGTACATTGTCCAGAACTAAAACATTAATACGTCAGTTAAGGCATAATGGTTGATGTAAGGAAATGCCGGTCACTTACGTCAATATATAATATTGCCTATGCATTGATTCCTGACCGTTGGTGGTTTCAGGAAGCTTGGCGTCAAGATTACTTCCATCTTCCAGAGGTGGATCGTCTAGGGGTAGACGAGGTCGTGCACAAAACAACATGCTGTGGATGTCGGACGTATTCCACCAATCGAGCCAAGGCTTGGCTTTAGGGAATAAACGAGCAAGCTGTTCGAATTTCTGACCGAGGGTCAGGCCATTGGGTTTGTCCGGTTCTAGAAGGTTGTAAGCCATGCGTTCAAATTTGGCCTAAGGATTTCAATCATTACATCAGTGATTGGAAGCACAAAGATATTAAAAAGTTAGCAAATTCACATACCAATTGACTTGCATCAACCACATTACGATTTCGTTTGATCCGAGTGACCAATTGACGAAAGTGTTCGTGGCAACCTTTCAACTTGTCCAAGGCCTTGGCGGGATCGGCTTCGTTAAAAACCTCCATGTAGGCACTTACAAACCCCTTCTTCTGGGCCAAGGAGAAATCGACGACCTGTTGAGTCAACAGATCACGCTTGTGGTACGTCAAATCGGCCTGAGAGATCTGTCGGAGCAAGGTGGTGAAATGGGCCCAATAGTGGCCTTCTTCGAGGCCCCACATCCAGGTGAGTTGAACCAGAATCCATCGATGAAGAACGTCACTGTACATTGACGTGGTGAGGAGGTAACCATGCTTGAAGAATCTGTACGTGACGTCGGAAAGGAGACCGCCGGAATAGACCCGATTCTCCTGATCCCGACGCACTAGTTGCTTGGCCATCCATTCGGTTTGAAAGGTAATGTGCACGTTTGCACCTAGAAGCGAGGTTGAGATCAACCTCAGACCGTTCCTAAAACCAAAAGGAGAAAGTAGAACAAAAAAAGATTCTTATGTAAGCGTCAAGGAGTACGAAATATATTATTTCATACAAAAGAGACAGAAGGGTTTGAAAACCAAGCGCAACCTTACCTGCCCCAGTGCATTAAATCCATAATCAGACGGTCCCCACCTCCTAAGCTTTCCTTTTCGGGCATTAGTCCCCTCTCCACCAGGATATTCCTTCGTAAGTAACCAAGACGCCCACCGTTGGAAAACGCAGCATGGATCTCGGTGACTGGCGCGGTGACCGTTTTCCCAGCACCCGCCTGTCCGAACTGTGTGTACAAAGAAGGTAGAGAAGGTTAATATGTGGTTACAAGATAGATGAAGGCTTAGCATACCTTCAACACCAATGGTCCGGCCTTCGGGTTCTGGACGAGCTGATCGGAGAGCGCGCGCATAGCCAAGGGATCGGCTTTTTTGGAAGAAGGCCAAACATGGTTATGAGTCCCGGTGTGTTGAAGGACACCCCAACCGGTGTCCTTTTGGATGTCGATTCGGCAGTTTGACTCGGGGCATGGAGTCCAAATGTTGTTGCCTTCACATGCAACCGCGGGGCACTTCGGTTGGCTAATGGGAAATAATCAAGACAGATATGTTACGATATTTGGTATTATCTTATTAAGTAGTCAAAGATACAATTTTCCTAATAAGGTAATGGTGAATGTTGGTGGTTAAGTGGGATTAAGACAGTTGGTCGGTTAGCGGTAAAATTGGAAGTTGAATAAAGGGATTACATTTGGAGATTGAATCAAGGGGTGCTGGAGGAAATTCTTTTGGGGGTTTATCAGTTCATCTTGTATTTTCTTTCTTCCTCTTTTCTGATTCTTTTCGTGTCGAAAAGAATCAGTAAGTGTTTTTCTTGTTCTCGTTATACTTTATTTTATTTTACTAATACCGTTACTATCATCTTCATTAGATTACTGTTTTGTTTTCCTGTTCTTAAACAACCATCTTACGCGTGCTCTTTTGTTTACTCACAAGCTCGCAGGTAGTGACTGTTTATGCCTTTCCTTTATTTATCTCTCATTTTCTGATTACTTTCATCTCTTATTTTTCTCATCGATTGTTTAGGTTAGCTTTATTTCTTGTTCTCGAGGTTGACTAGCAGAATCGCTGTAGTCTAACTCAGGAACCTGTGCCCTCAGGTGTGTAGTGTGTCGAAAAGAATCAATTACTGTTTTGTTTTCCTGTTCTTAAACAACCATCTTACGCGTGCTCTTTCGTTTACTCACGAGCTCGCAGGTTAGCTTTATTTCTTGTTCTCGAAGTTGACTAGCGGAATCGCTGTAGTCTAACTCAGGAACCTGTGCCCTCAGTGTGTCCATTTCTTACTACAGAAAATTCTAGCAGTGACGTCTTCTCTTGGTTCTAAACGAATCCTGAGAATCCATCCTTTGAGAAACATTATATGGTAGCGAGAGTTCCAAGATCTATTCGACCCGTTTTGCTTGTATAAGTTCCGAAAACGACGATCATTTCATTGACGAAAGTACGGATAACTCAACAGTTACTGAAGGATCAAGCACTTCACAATCGGCCGATTCTTTTAGAACGGTTCATCAAGATATCTCTAATCCCTTACTTTCTGATATCTCTTTGGGTTCTCAAATTATGAAGAACACCGTTTCAATCATGTCTGAAAATGCCGATTCCAGAGTGTTTGGTGACCAAGTTCAAAAATATTCGCAAATCATGAACAACGCGTTGAGCAAGTACAAGGTGTCTGACGATTTGACTGATGACAATTATATCGAATGGAGCCAATCTATAATGGAAGTTTTCCGCTCTCTGGAACTTCATCACTATATCAAAACCAAGGACTACCAAAAATCAACCTTGTCCGATGAAGAACATGAGAAAACACGCTTTAATCTCACAACTTTCATTCTTCATAGACTGGATTCCATCAACAATGTCAGAACTCGGAATCATCTCACTGATCCAAACAACGCTTGTGAAATCATCTATGACCCTTTCAGATGTTGGACATTTCTCAAGAGTTATCACAACCGAATCTCTGAGGATAAACTCGAAGCCGTCACCAAGGCCCTTTACTCCTGCCAAATAATGAAAGTCGACTCTCTTAGTTCTTTTGTTGACAAGTTTGAAAATCTCATCCGAGAATTCTATCGCCTAAAGGGCGAGCTTTCTGATATCCAATCGGCGAGAATGCTTCTCGGCGCTATCCCTTCTCTCTCTCTATTGAAACCAAAGAATACATACATAATACGGTTGTCCCTTTGACACAAGAAGGCGTTGGATCCTACCTTCGAAAATACGAGGAGCGTCACGGCTGGACTTGTGCCGCTATCCGGGAAGTAAATTCAGTCTCAGTTCGACCTGGAAAGAAGGTCTCCGGAGAATGTACTCCTGAAGAGTGTGTCGGTCCACATCTTTCCAAGAACTGTTGGTCGAAACCTGAAAACGCCGAGAAACGTCTTGCTTTCCTGTCAAAAATACGTGGAAAATCAGGAGGTGGAAATTCAAACTCATCATTTTCAAATAGTTCTCAGCCTCCTCAAGTCAAAGGTGTTAAGAAGGTGTTTGATTCAAGCGTCAATAATGCTTCTGCGAGTCTAGCTTTCTTATCTCTCAATGTGGAATTTGAAGAAAAAGAAAATTTGAATGAATCTCAAGTCATGTGTTCTTCAGCCTTGCCGTCGGAATTCAAGGAGGATCCTGACATCAGTGCCTCTGTCTCCGCGTCACTTTCATCTTCACGTTATTGGGCTCTCCACGACACGGGAGCTACACATCACATGTTCAAGGACCAGAAATTTTTTGATCAATCAACTCTTGTCAAAATTGACAACGCCAGCAAACGACTCAAACTAGCTGGTGGCGATGTCTCCTTGGCTGTACACAGTAGAGGTGTTGCTAAGCTCTTGGCTGGAGATGAAACTCCGTTCAAACTGAAGAATTGTTTGTATGTTCCGGAGCTTTCAAGGAATTTAATAGCTGGTGCTGTGTTGAAGAAACAGGGGGTGAGAGAGTTGTTTCACGATAGCACAAACTTCTCGTTGGTGTTAAATGGTCTCGCGATCTTCAATGGTTTCATCTCCGATAACAACCTCATGTTCATCTTACTCGATCCTGTGAGTAGACAACAATCTACTTCAATATCAGCTTCAGTTACTCAAGTTTCTGCATCTCTTCAACATCGCCGATTAGGACACGTCAGCCACAAATACCTCAAATTGATGTCAAAGTTGGATAGCGTGGAAGATTTTGAGTACTTGGATGAAAACTTAAATTGTGACATATGTTCCTTGTCTAAAAATACAAAATTACCTCACAACAAAACCAGACCTCGCGCTCGTACATTCCTTGAAAATGTTCATGTTGATTTAAGCGGTATTATCAGAACAACTGGATTCAATAATGAAAACTATTTTATTTTGTTCTGTGATGATTTTTCTGCGTACCGTCACATCTACCCGTTGAATGATAAGACAAAAGAGGAGGTGTATGAAGCGTTCATGACTTATATTGCTGTGGCTGAGAGGCAGACTGGGTGTCTAGTGAAGCAATTTACTCTTGATTGCGGTAGTGAATTTCTCAATAATCTGCTTGGTCCGAAGCTCAAGGAGCTTGGAATTACTCTTCATCTGACTTCAGGTCATGCACCTGAGGAAAACGGTGTTTCCGAACGTGGTATGCGCATTGTCGTTACCAGGGCACGTTCAATGATGCTCGAATCTGCTATGCCAATTCGGTTTTGGTATTATGCCTGTAGTGCAGCAGTGTTTCTAACAAATCGTTGTGTTACTTCTGCTCTTGAAGAAGGTAAAACTCCATTTGAAGTTTGGTTCTTTCGGAAACCTTCAGTGAATCATTTGCGAGTGTTTGGTTGTCAAGCTTTTGGTCTCATTCGAAAAGAACTTCGTCACTCAAAATTCTCTCCTGTAAGCTCTGAAGGTGTTCTTGTTGGATTTGAACAAGATAACTTTAACTATCAAATCTACGACTTGACTTCAAAGAAGATCTACATAACACACCATTCAACTTTCAATGAGGACCTATTTCCTTTTCAAAATCTTCAAACCGAAACAACCCGTGTTCCATCTGAACCTCAACGAACTTCTGTCAGAATACGCTTCTTTGACGACGGTGACGAGTATTTGGATTATTTGATACCCAAAGACACGACTTCCGATGCTTCTCACCCTCCTGTTGTTCCTCAAATCACTGAGTCTGGAAATCTTACTTCGGACAAACCATCTCAAGAATCATCTCGTCGCTCTAACCGTTCTTCAAAGAAAGTTTATGATAGTCTCAAGGGGATGTGCTCTTCTGGCGCTGAATTCGAAGATGACTTTATTACAGAATCTTTCTTCGCTTGTCTACCTTCTCAATGTAATGCGGCAGGAGTTATATCAAATCCTGATCCAAAATCTTATAAACGAGCTATGGCCTCAGTTGATGCGAATTTGTGGAGAGCTGCTTGTGATAAGGAATTCAATTCTCTGAGGGAAAAGGAAGTGTGGGAATTAGTTGATCGACCGGAAGGTCACAACATAATTAGAGGGTTGTGGGTGTTTAGGAGAAAATCACTAGTTGACAGAAGCATCAAGTACAAGGCTCGATTCGTGGCAATGGGGAATACTCAAGTACCCGGCCAAGACTATGGTGAAACTTTTGCGCCCACCGGGAAGCCTGGCTCATTGCGAATTCTTGTGGAAATTGTGGCGATCAATGGATGGGAGATCCATCAAATGGACGCCGTAGCGGCTTTTCTCAATGGAATCTTACATGAAGAACTCTATGTTGAAATTCCGGAGGGATATCGTACTGCGTCAACTGTTGGAAAAGTTTGGAGGATGAAAAAGTCGTTGTATGGATTTAAACAATCACCAAAGATTTGGCAAGATGATGTTGAGGAGTTTCTTATTGAAATCGGTTTCTATCAGTGCGAAATCGATCATTGCATCTACATTCGCTCAAACCGTGATCTATTTACCGCTGTCTACGTTCATGTGGATGACTTGGCAATCACCGGTAACAATATTGCTACTTTCAAGACTCAAATCTCAGCTAAGTGGGAAATGGAGGATTTAGGATTGGCTCATACGGTAGTAGGGATTCAAATTCAGCGTAGTGATGAAAATTCATACTCAATGTCACAGCAACAATATGCAATGACTGTGCTCAAGCGGTTTGAAATGACTAACTCAAAACCAGCCATCACCCCTCTGTCACCAAACATCAAGCTGTTGAAATCGACGGATGAAGAAGCTCAAGAATTTGCCAAGGACAAACTCCCGTACAGAAGTGTTGTAGGCTCACTGATGTATTTAGCACAGTGTACACGTCCAGATATGGCTCACGCCGTTGGAGTTCTGTCACAACATCTTGATTCTCCAAACAAACTTCACTGGGATTCTGCGATGCATGTCCTCCAATACCTAAATCACACGATTAATATTGGGATAGTGTACAGTGGCAACACTTCAAAAGTTGTAGCAGGCCAACGTAGTTTTAACTGCCCAGTGTCACACTGCGACGCTGACTGGGCAGGTGATGTCAACACCCGGCGTTCAACAACTGGATACGTCTTTGTACTAGCTGGTGGCCCGATTTCATGGAGAAGCCGTCTCCAACCAACGGTAGCTCTATCATCTACAGAAGCTGAGTACCGCGCAATCACTGAAGCGGGTCAAGAGCTGCTTTGGTTACGCAACATGTTGTCTTGTTTTGGATTCACTGATCCAAATCCGACGGTTCTTCAAAGCGATAATCTGGGTGCAATTCATTTGACATCTAAATCTATTTTTCACGCTAGGACAAAACACATTGAAATTCATTACCACTGGATTCGTGAGGTAGTGAAGAAGGGTGACATTTCAATCAAACACTGTCCTACGCACTTGATGGTGGCTGATCTTTTAACAAAACAACTTCCTAAGGAACAGTTTTCAAATTTGAGAAAAGCAATGGGCTTGAGATTTATAGGATAATGCTCTTTGAGGGGGTGTGTTACGATATTTGGTATTATCTTATTAAGTAGTCAAAGATAAAATTTTCCTAATAAGGTAATGGTGAATGTTGGTGGTTAAGTGGGATTAAGACAGTTGGTCGGTTAGCGGTAAAATTGGAAGTTGAATAAAGGGATTACATTTGGAGATTGAATCAAGGGGTGCTGGAGGAAATTCTTTTGGGGGTTTATCAGTTCATCTTGTATTTTCTTTCTTCCTCTTTTCTGATTCTTTTCGTGTCGAAAAGAATCAGTAAGTGTTTTTCTTGTTCTCGTTATACTTTATTTTATTTTACTAATACCGTTACTATCATCTTCATTAGATTACTGTTTTGTTTTCCTGTTCTTAAACAACCATCTTACGCGTGCTCTTTTGTTTACTCACAAGCTCGCAGGTAGTGACTGTTTATGCCTTTCCTTTATTTATCTCTCATTTTCTGATTACTTTCATCTCTTATTTTTCTCATCGATTGTTTAGGTTAGCTTTATTTCTTGTTCTCGAGGTTGACTAGCGGAATCGCTGTAGTCTAACTCAGGAACCTGTGCCCTCAGGTGTGTAGTGTGTCGAAAAGAATCAATTACTGTTTTGTTTTCCTGTTCTTAAACAACCATCTTACGCGTGCTCTTTCGTTTACTCACGAGCTCGCAGGTTAGCTTTATTTCTTGTTCTCGAAGTTGACTAGCGGAATCGCTGTAGTCTAACTCAGGAACCTGTGCCCTCAGTGTGTCCATTTCTTACTACAGAAAATTCTAGCAGCGACGTCTTCTCTTGGTTCTAAATGAATCCTGAGAATCCATCCTTCGAGAAACATTATAAGATATCAGTTTGAATATCTGTAAGTATTCCAAAAATGACAAGGTTTGTAAACCGTACTTACTCTTCAACCAATTCGGCCGCTTTTCCCTTGGCAGTCGGCGGCGGTGCGGCATAATCGCAGAAATTGTCATTGCAGTGTAACACCCCCATACAAGTAAACCAGATAGTTTTCCAAGGGCCGGCCTTCGCGCCTTTGACCTTTTGAGTGTGCGGATAAGCGATGTAGCCAAAATTGATGATCTTGTCGTCAGGCTCTCGAACAAATACAGTGTCGCCGTTTGGGTAGATGGGGTATCCTTGCGCATCGCGGGTCAAGCCGTGATCAATGAAGGTCTTGAGGTCACCGAGAGCTGGAATAGGTGTCTTAAACTTCTTGCCGGTTTTGTTGGGACGGTTACGTTTCTTCTTCTTCGGGCCAGGAGATGAGTTAGAAACGAGATCAACCTCTTTTGGAACGGTATCTCTGGAAGGTTTTGTAGGTAAATCTACGAGGTCATGATCTGGTACGGGATTCTTGGTATACTTCGAGGGTAAATTGGGATTGTGACGGCTGGATATGTTTTGGGAAAAATCAGGGGAACTGGGTATTTCACTTGGGAATTGTTCGGAACCAGACATGGGGAGACTTTTTCGAGGAGATGTAAAAATTTGAAAAAGATTTGGGAGTTTGAATGAGTCAAATGGAAACCGATAAAATCGAGACAATCTGGATGGTGAAATCAAGACAGGAGACTCTGAATTGTATAGGTATAGGTGAGGAGAAATAGCATCTTGAGAGTTTGGAGGTGATTGTGCAAAGTTGTTGGAAGAATTTGGTTGGGGGTATCCATCATAGGTCCAGGGAGGTTTACACAGAATGGTAAGTGACATGGTACGTTTTTCCTGAATTCAATCACGATTTGCCAACTTCCTTGCTGGTCTTCTGAGACTGATTTTGGATAACACTACACCAAAGGGCGTCTTTTCCGTACAGTTTAGAAAATTGTGACTGACATAGAAAACTGTATCATCTACATATTCTGTTTTTCTACTGTTCAGAAGTAATAAGGATTCATTAGGCATCAAGAGCACCTACCTCATGATCATAACCTTTTTATAATACAGATTGTGTGTAATGCTGTCATTTGTTGATTTGTCTTCTCATGCATTCAAATTGTAGCCTGATTATTTCTTTCTAGAATATTGATCACATGACTTCATGCATCAATTTTGGTTCATTTCCTTCGCTTATGTTCTCCTCTTTTTCAACGCTCACTATCATCTAATATATGATTGACATTGTCTCTAGTGTTCTGTAATCAACGTTGTGGCTACGCTTCCCACAAGAAGCTCTACAAGATAAATAATTTATGTACATGTTTCTTTTCTGTCTCTCTGTGATTGAGAAGTAAAACATGGCTTGTGCAACGTGCCTCACGATATCGAACATCCGATTGGAATATGTATTGCGTGTTAATATATGCTGATTACAAGGAAGTGAATCTCTGATAGATTAGCAACTTGTTGCGTATATTTATACAGTATATTGTTCATCTACTTATGTAGAATTCTAGTCAGCATTGAAACCGCGAGGCCCGCTCATGAAGTGGAAAGTACTTATGCCGCTCGGCTTGATCATTAATCTCACACTTGATCATCCTCCTTATGGTATTGTCTATATAGTCCCATCTTCAAGCCACTCTGTGTCAACGCACTGCTCTTTTAGCGAATATGTCTACAGTTTTGGACCCCAGCGACCCAGGTGTTAGCAAGCACGACATGGCTCAGTTGCTTTACGAACGTGACAAGACAACAACCCTTCACTCCAAAATAACTCGAGCACAGCTTGCCACCAAAGTGCGAAAGGCGCAGCCGCATCGTTTGTTTTTCTGTCTCTCACAAACAGCATCTGATTACAATTAGATCTCAACTTGTATTTTATTTCATTTTGACCAGTCTTCCCAAATCCTGATACCGACGATCCAGCCCTGGACTCGAATGAATTGCCGCACCAACAACAGGAATCAGGTGATCGAAAGGTGTTTGGCAGCATGGAGTCTCATAGTACGTGATCATTTCCCTTTGCATCCATCTCACCCTTGTGATAATAAGATAAAAAGCCCGGAACAAAAAGTTTGATTCATTGTTTCCAGATCCTATGCCTTCACCTTCCACGAGTGGTCGGAACTCACAAGACTTGACATCGATCGCCACAATCGCTCCTCCTCGTAAAGCAAAGCGTGTTTCTTTCGATCCACCGATCTCCACATGTTACCTCCTACATGACGTCAAACCAAATCTTGCGGATATGGGGCCTGCTCGAAAAGCAAAGCGAGTGTCTTCTGATGATCACAGTGGTTCTACCATGATGAAGAAAAAGAAAAAAAGGTGAGTTCCCATGAGCTTGGACATGGGTACAATCATCATCTTTAATCACTTCGACAAGTGTAATCATACTGCAATGTGAGTACTGAAGCCTTGTTCTAATTACAGTCAATGGAACAGCAAATTCCAGACCACCCGACCAGTAACAGTATACCAAAGTCTACAGGTAAAGGCATTTCGAAATCAACTCCTGGAGTGAAAGCTACCTCTCTACTGGAGGTACAGGATCAGTGCGAACATACCAGAGAGTTAAGTGTGCTTCAGGAGCCTCTGGTTCTTCCTGCTTTGAACCCGTCAAGTAATCGTGTGGAAGATAATAACGAGGGTTTGGAAGAACAACTGATTTCTCTTGGGTCAGAAGAGGGCAAGCCAGACACTTCAAGTACTCATCGCTATGAAATGGACTTGATGGAATTTCCCGAGTTAGATATATTTGAAAGTGAAAATACCAGTACGTCTACCAATCTCTCTTCTTGTTTGCTCCCATAAGTAATGTCTACTCACGCTGGATCTTTTGCACTTTCAGTATTGGGAAGGAACATTGATCCCATTCCTTTCAAACCCTCTATCGAGCCAAATTCAGAGCTACCAGTACTCTCGGGAACAGACTACTTTCAAATCCAAAGAAGTAAAGAAGAGCAACGTAATTCTCGTACCCATTCCAATGTATCCCAAGCATAATCAATACGAGTGAAAACTAACCAAACTTTATGATATTTTTGATATACGACAGTTGCTACCCTCGAAGAGCGTGTGGCATCTTTCGAAGACATGAAACAAATCATCGTCACTACTCAGACACGTTTAGACTTTCTAGAGATGCAGGTTGAAAGACTAGAGAATGAATTGCAGTCAGCTCGTAATGACATCAATGAGCACGACAAAGTCCTTACTGGCCTGCTTTCAGTTGAAGAAGGGGAAGATTCTGGTACTGGCAGTTCCGTCTCAGATTAGAAAATGATAAGTGTGTAGCTGTAGTTTCAAAGTGTATTAGCATAAGATACGGGAACAACATGCACTACAACTATATGTTTTGTTTGAAGCCAATCTCTATGTATAATTAATCTTTGAGCTCTCTCAGAAGTAATGGCGCGCCCAATATTGTTCTCTCCTAATTTTTTCCTTTTGTTTTGTCCATTTGAGCAACTGTTGCTTGATTATATACTTGGCCCAGATAAAATGCCTTACAAAGAATCGCTATCCAGCTATTGCATCCTGTGAGTTGCTATGAAAGAACCTTTTTAAGATTCTGAGTCTAAAAGCCTTGGATCACATGTGTCATCAAATGATTATACGCACACATGCGTTATTCCAGGTGAAGCCATCATCGTTGCTCTATTCTGAACTATATTCTGCTTTATTCTTATAATGGTTACGAAGCATTGTAAGCAAAATTTTATCGCAACATATACAAAATTTTACTTGCATTACAAAGATATCAAGAATCTATGTAGGTAGTAAGCGTGTGTAGCAACACATATTTCCCATCTTGCAGTCAAAGTGATTCAGGATTCTGTCAGCCGGCGACAGATCATCTTCCCCAAAGAACATGTTCCAGAAAGGGGACTTGATCGTCTGCCAGACTGAAAGGCAATCGTTGTTCTACGGTGATGCCGACACTAGAGGTTGTCACGTTTTGACAACAGCTAGTGCTTGTGTACATGTAGCTAAATGTAACAAGTGAAACATATAAGATCACCACGATTGCCCCCGTTCCTCAATTGTATCGATAGGGAGTTTCAATCAAGTCCGCATCTCCTAACGCAAGGATCCTGGTTTTTGAAGGTCAGGCATCTTCCCTTTTTACCTTCTCAAGTTTTGTTCTCGCACGCTCTTTGAGGTTTTGGACACCCACATGTTCCGCTTTGTTTGTACGTCGATGATCTTATTTCTGTTTCACGATCCAGATCAAACATGGGAAAGGCACGGAAGAAGAGCACTGGAGGCACAAGCTCAGGCCCCACAAGCCCCTCGAACAACCAACTCGAGATTAATACCAAAGGTGAGCTCGGAGTTTGTGTGTTGATCTTTTTTGGATGAGATTTGTCATAATACCCCTGTTTCACTCTTTCTCCTAGGCTAAAACTTTCTTGTAACTCACACTCTCCGCACATCCAACTTCATCAGACAAAGTTCCGCATTCTGCTCAACCGAATACGCAGTCTCTGAAAGAGCCCTCTTTTCCGAAAGTCTTTCCTTCAACTGCAGCAGGGGGATTTGTGAGAGATGATATAGCAGCAAAGGTCGACTCGTTACCCGACGACTTGCATGTTTTCCTCGATCACGACTTTGATGAAAAGTGTGACCAGATCAAGAATATCCTATATTATCTTATCTTGTATCATTTCGACCCCAAGACAAAATCTCGCCCCAACCACAACAAAACCGTCTTGAAAAAGGTGTTTCAAGATAATGTCAAGCCTTTGATCATTCCGTACATCAAACCGCCTGTTGTGAAACCGGAACCAATGGACACGGATGTACCCGAAACTGTGGACTTCGATCCTCTCAGCCGCAAGACTACTCGACAGATGTTGGTTGGCGCTATTTCGAAGAAAGTGGGAAAATTCTTGATACCCGACATCGCCAGAATTGATCACCTTCTTTGGCTCTTCAAAGCAAAGGTTGACAAGGATCTCCGCTTGCCTCAAAAACCCGAGTTTAGTCAGCGCCCTCGTGTCCTGAAAGAAGACCGCTTGAAGGGCGAGACAGTAGAAGAGCTTCGACATGCTCTGCAAGTATATGCTCCACACATATTTGTGTACTTGATCGCTTTGAGGCCCTCATGTCTCATTGATCTCTACGTCAAATTTGTTATCGAAGGCGATCTTCCCCCCGAGCGTACCCCTGTCCTTGGCTTTCACTATGCTGTCATAGACAAAGAAGAATGATCTTGAACTATCATAGAATTGATTGTGAGTATTTCAAACGATCATGTTTTGAGTTTTTATCATTAATGACTCACTAGGCTACACTTTTGGTTGTGTCATATAGTGTCATATATCCGGTCCTAGATCTAGTAGATCTTTTCTTGGGAGGTTTCTGGATCTTGTTTCGTCTCATTCATGTATCATGTATCTCTATCAGTCCTGTAGTGTTAGCGCCTATTGTTAGTACGGCATGTTTTGTATGAGTTGTGGTTTTCGATCTCTGGATTTCGCTCATGAGTCAATGATCAATAGGTTGCACTCCGTTTTGTCCTCTTGTGTCGGATGTGTGTTCCTGCTTCCTAATATCAGCTTTGACGAGACATATTCAAATATATCCATTATATGATACAATAAAAACTTCATCACTATCACTTCTCTGAATATTAAAGTCCTTTCACCACTTTCGTAACCACATATAAGCGGATTCAACTTCCCCACGTCAGATTTTTTTTACAAATGCCTCGAGGGAACAAGAAGATTGGAGAGCGTCGTCGAAAAGTATGCACATGCAAAGCTTTCGATTGCGAATCTGGCTTTTACTTAGACGCACAAGGCTCGTCACAACCAGGTGTTGAACTCAGCCCGGAGGCGTATG